TTTTCCTGCCTCTCAAACGACTTGTCCGGGAGCAATGATTCTCCCGATTCCCTCCCACTCGCCATGATCTGCCACTCCAAAACAAAAAATTGAAACAAGACGGAAAAGGCTAAAATGTCAAGGACTAAACTAGTCATGTCTCGACTTTGTGGTCGGTATCAATGCCGTCATCGGTCAACACGTTTTGACTGAAGTACACTACACGTAGACTGGGGAGTGCGGTGCGAATGCGGATATTCAGGGGTTCGATAAACGGCGGCGATAGAGTTGCAGCGAGCGACATGATTTTTTTTTTTCCTTCCTTTTTTTCCACTTTCAGCAACCTTCCATTCCTTCTTTCTCCTCCTCCAAAGTCCAAACCTCCTCTAGCCGAGCCGCGATGTCGCTCCCGCCAACCCGCTCCGGTGCCAATTGTTCGGTGCTGCCGTTGCTTCAGGGGTAAAAGGAACAAAAAACCATGACAAATTCGCCACCGTTATCCTTCACACACCCACTCCGGTGCGTTCACTCACTGTCACCCTTCCATTCCAAGCATTCCAAACGTTCCTCGCGTTCCCCATCCCAGCCGAACATCCAATCATTGCCCACCACGCAGCCTTCGAGAAGTGTTCTTCAAGATTTCCAGAAATTGAATGGCTCCCGGCCAGTCCGGAGTGGGAACCCGTCAGTTCCGCTTTGCGCATGCATGCATCTTCCCTTTCCATGTGCGCCAGATGTGCGCATTCGAATAATGGCCGGTTTTTAGAGTCGGTTCGGGGGCCTCGAAGGACAGAAGCCGAAACGAAGCTTGACACGATTAGGAAACCAGGCGCATAAACAATTGTCCCTTCAAATCACAACTCGCGCACATCCCACGAGGTCTCCTCGACGGGGGACGTGGGGAAACGGGGAAACGAGAGGAACCAGGACGAGACCAAACCAAACGAGACGGACGGGCTGCAGACTAGACCGAACGGGACACGAGAAACAACAAGAGATTGGGAGACCTGACGGGCGAGACGAGAGCGGAATACATTTGAGCAAAACGAACGGATGGCGGGTACCGCAGCATTGGGCCAAGCCAAGCCCAGCCGCGTGCCAGCCTCCAAGGGCGATCGCCGAAGTGAGATCCCGAAATGGTTGCGGCGGTTGTCAATCGTTGGGGGGAGCGATGCAATGCAATGGGATGTCGTTTGCTCCCAACTCGTGTCTCGACCTTCCCTCAACTAGCCATCTTCTCTCCAGTTATCTCGGGATTCGACCAACGACTTCAAAGGTTAATCTCCCTATTGCATAGCGCATTTGCGCGAGAGCCCCAAAGTCGCAGAGAAAGAGTCATCCTCAACCGTTTGTTCCGAACCCGCCTCGTTTTACTTGGGCCCCCAAGGCAAGTGCCTCAAAAAAATTCTCAAATACGACTTAACAAATACAAGATCCGTGTTCCTCAGCTGAAGGACAGGGCGCATGTACATGGGCTTCGGTCAAGGCGCCGAAGTTGGACCACCGGCGCTTTAGATAAGCCTGGCAAGCACCACGACGTCGGCATCGAACGGGACCCGTCACAAACAAACATGGTGCACAGCGGCTACGACTGCCGGAGGGGGCTTGAGCTGAGAACGGAAAGCTCCCATCGTCATCTCATTTCCTTCTCCCACACTCAGCCGTTCGCCCAAATACTTTTATCTCCATTGTGGTCGTCTCTATCTAGCCTCACTAGTGCACGTGCGCAAGCAAGTCTCCTTGTTGGACCCGGGCGAGCTGGGTTCAAGATATGGTCATCGGTCTTGGTCGGGAGTCCAGACTCGTCTCTCCGTCTCCCAATCTTCCCCGCCGGTCTCGATGTCTGACTAGAGGACACTACTGCGTACATCCCACATCGTTAACGACTACCTTACCGTCAAGCCATTAAAAAGGTCAAGGGGGACAGCCCACTTCGCTCCTCCTCCTATTCTAAGCTAACTAGCAAGCACTTCCCAAAGGAGTCAGAGAATATGACAAGGCTCCGGCCAGGCTTGCCTAAACGGGCGCAACACCAAGCACAAACCCTCGCAAGCCCAGACGGTGATATCTCGGTACCAAATATTCGGGTTGGTCTAACGGCGGCAGCTCCGATGCTTTGGAAGCCTCGTTCGCACCGTTCTTGTCCGCCAACCTTCTACACGCTCCTTTACGAAGGGTCCTACCGGGGTCAGCGCCGCGCTCGGACTGAGCGCCGATTTACTACCATACTACTGATACCGAGTTGACGGTTCGGCCTAACGGCGAGAGGTCCGGTCCGTGAGCCGTAAACCTCATCTCTCTTTTCTCTCCAGCCTTATCTCCTTTCCAATTCCATATTTCTACACGAGGTGCGGCTTACGAAGCTGTTGCCTACAGCCTGACTTATCTGCCTACCTGCCTACCTACATACCGGAGCCAGCGCCAACTGTCACTGACAGACCGGACTGAGCCCCGCCCTGCGAGTGAACGCTTCAGATTGCTGCTGTCTTGTCGATGTCGCCTACCTATCGTTCGGTCGAGTGACGAAATGTGATGACGGTCTAGACTCTAGTTGTAGGTACACTAGGTCGATAGTATGTCTCACACTCGTACGACCCGCTGTACGGGCAAGCGGGATGATGTAAGGGACAAATATCAGTGAACTGATTCTCGAAATGGGCTGACTTGGCCCAAAGGATCTGGAGTGAAGCCTCGTCTCTTCAGCCACAACTTCCGTTTTGGACAGGATTCCCAATGGGGAAAGCACGATCGTACCACTCTTCCACTGCCACAGACTGCCGATTTTGGAACTCGAATGTCAGGATGGAAGGGGCGACTGAACAAGCAAACTTCTCACTAATGTGGAAAAAAGTAGCGAGGTTAGAGGCAGTTGCTGTCGGACATTCCGCCGGTTGTTCGACGGCATCGATCTATCAAGTTCCGTCCAGGTTGGTCCGTATACTTGCCATTCGACGATACTTTTCAGTCTTCAGCCATCCAAATAATGTAGCATCACATAACAATCCTCAGCCGGAATCGTGTGGGAGAAGGGAACCGGAGTGTTGCTGAAAGGGGCACGGGTTTACCCTGCAGGAACAGACCAGCAACAGAACAGAGTAAGAAAGAAGGGAAAACGTGGCACCCAGGTTTCACCATCAGACTATCAACCGCGCGATGTTCCCCCATCTTGTCCCATCCTGTCACAGCTCGTCCCAGGAGTTCCCAAGAGTTGCTCGCGCCCTGCATAAGTGTGCCTCTGTTCCGTGTCCCGCGTGTCCGGGCCCTGAGGCTGAGGGGGTGGGTGATCCACGGTACGCGGCACGCCTCACGCCCCCTTCTCCTTACCATGCTTCAACTCTTCTTATCGTGAAAGCCTTCTCTTGGCATCTCATTTTGATTCCAGGGCCAAAGGGCAGATATCCCCGATCATCTATTCCCAGGCAGTCCATACTGTGGTATAGGAGCCTGGAAGTGATTTACACTGGTTCAGCTCCTCGGGATCTTTTGCAGTCAGTGATGCTTCAAGGCATGCTCTCAAGGGGGCTCTCACAGAAAGTTGATCTGGTTCGGTACCAAATTTCCGGTTTCCAGCTAAAAAGTGTACCATGGTATCGTGATCTCGTTGATCCCACCACCAACCAGCCAGACAGACAGCCTCCTCACCAACCAACCAGCCAGCCGTGTGAGCTGAATGATAGCGGTAACCTTGATGACTTCAGCCAAACCCATCAACAAATCCTCACCGCCCGCCCACTTGCCCACCTGCCCACCGGGAAGTGGAGGCCCGGGGTCCCGGTATTTCGGGACAGCATACGTCGATCCTCATTAAGCCTCAGCTAGGCTCGCGTGGCTCGGTGGGTATGTAAGAGGATTATTCAACTATGACAAAAAGATTGAAACCTGGGCAGCAATAATGATCGTCTTCAGCCTCGCCTCCTCACTTGCTCGATTGATCCCATGCTTTGTATCAGATATATGTAGGGTTGTCGAAAGAGTACGGGGGTTGTCGATCGTACAACAACCCGCGTATGAGTGATGGAGACGGACGCAGCTCCGGCTTGTTACCCCTTGCCCATATTTCTCCTCAATTCCCGGTCGGTCTCTGTGATGAACCTGGGGACGAGTGCTCATCTCGTGCTTTCGGCTTAGATCGGTACCGATGGCGGAGATAGCTCCTGACCCTCGATGATGGCGAAGCTCCAAGATGACTCGAATACGTAGGTAGGTAGGTATTTTGCCCAAAATCCTTCCATGTCCAAACCGCAACACCATCAAAGACCTTAATATATCCGGTAGACCGAACATCGATCCAGCGCCCACCCACCCTCCTCCGAATCCCCAATTTCATTCCCCGGTTTCGACTACAGTGATACGAAAGCCTCATCGTATGTGTTGAACCCCCGAGGCGCTCTAGCGGTGAACGGTTACTACCGATTGCGGACAATTTCCATAAACGAGAGGACCCTTGAATGAACTCTTCGGCAGAGAGGAACTAGGAAACTCATATGCTTCATTCAGGTAGTACCAAAGAAGTGTCTCACCACCAAATCCCATAAAGTCGGTCGGTAAATCGCTCTATAAGGAGCAAATCTCCAAAGATGTACGATGTATGTCTTGGTGGGAGTAGTTCGAGGTCTCGAGTATCGGCAGCATCGGAATCGAATGTGGTCATGCAAAATCCCGTTTTGAGAGACATGGCGTTGTTGTATGGTGTCGTGTTGCATTACTCGGGGGATTTCGGGTGTCTCTAATTTGTTGAGCTCGAGGGGGCTCGGTGGGGAGCTGGTTGGATTGGTTCTTCTGGTCTGGTAGGTGAGACCGAGACCAATGTAGACAACTTTGTGATTTGGATTATTACTAGGATTTATTTGGACAGAGATGGATGTAGTATACCTCGCGAAGACATATTTGTCCATCCGCCACCATCTCGCTCTCTCCCGAAAATATGTTTGAAATACGCCTGCTAATCGCACCGCAATAGCATGCATCGCTTGCTTCCCTGCCACCGTTCCTCATACCTCAAGTCACCGACCTCAAGCGCCTTACGCTTTCCTCATGCTTCCAATAATCTCCATCTGCGCATCACGATCCCTCTGGCCCTCGCTCAGGGATCCAACACTCCTCAGATCGCCAACCACATCCTTGGCCTTGCCGAAGTAGACCTCCTGCAGCAGGTTGCGCATCTTGAGCTCCATGTCCTCGACCAGGCGGCCAATGTTGGCAATGTGGCTCTCGTCGTTCTCGACCGGCAGGTCCTGCTCGACCTGGCGCGTCATGTTACCCGAAAGATCGACCTCGCCGAGGGTGTTGCCCTTGGTGGCAAGCGAGAGGATGACGGTCGAGGTAAGGCGGTAGTTGGAGGTGCGGCCGCGCTCCGAGGCTTCGAAGACGTGGATGGAGTCCCAGACGCCGGAGGAGGAGGGATTGGTTGGGGAGGCTGTTTGACGCAAGGTAGTTAGCATGACGTCCGTATAGAGAAAGTGTTTGTAGACCGCCGGCCAACAAGCGCAATAACTTGGTGCGCGCGCCGGACCGTCCCATTACCCATCTATCCCTTGCAGTTCCAACCCAAACCCAAAACCAACAACAACGACGGAGGAGTAGGAGGAGCAAACTCACACTTCTTCAACAACACCACCCCCGCAAACCCATCGTCCAAATTCCAGAAATACACTGAGCTCACGCCACCCTCATAATACAGCTCCCTGTACACATCAAACGCCTCATTGGCCTTGATCTCCATCTTCCGCACCCTCTCGCCAGGCATGATGCTCCCCGTAGCACCACCCTCGCCTTCGCCGTCACCATCTCCACCGCTGCCTCCCTGGTTGCCGCCCTCGAGCGGAGGGTCAAACTGGTTGCTCCATGGCGAGCGGTAGCTGTCGCCGTCACGGTTGTAGTCGCACAAAAGGTAGTCGCGGCCGGTTTGCTTGCAGCGCTTGACGGTCAGGGGCTGATCGACGGAGGAGAGCAGATCTTCGGTCAGGTCCGGGGCGAGGGTGATGAGGTTGTTAAGGTGCTCGGCTGTGTGTTTGGGATTGAGGCGGCGGAGGAGGTCGCTGTTTGGGACAGATGAAGGAGTTAGCTTGGGTTCGTCCTGGTTGCGCGCGCGCTTGTGGTGAAGCTGGTTGGTGATGTAGTTGGCGGTTGGCGGTTGGCAGTCGGTGTACATCTGGGCGGCGGAGGGGCAAGACAGGCTCGCTGGGGACTTACAGGGCGGAATCAAAGGGGTCTGCGGTCGCCATCTTGACGGTATTCTCTGGATTGATAGGGATGATACTCTTGTTGTTTCTTTGTTTACTTGGTGAAGGTCGAAATGGCGGCGCGACGGATGATGGGTAGGGCGACGGAGGTAGGTGCTAGGTTGGTTCCTTAGCTGGTGAGTTGGCGGGGATGTTCCAGGTCGGGTCGGTATGAAACCTCCACTGAGAGCTCCGGTGCGGTGCGGAGCTCTGTCCAAGGGAGCAGTGCAACGTGGTGGGGTTCCCTGTTCACGGCGCTGTTTCAGGGGCTCATGCACGGCCAATCGCACTGTTTGTTTCCATCTGTGTACAACTTATTCTCTGGCCAGAAACATCTACATGGAAAGTAACCTCCATACTTCCTCTAAAAGCGTCATCAGAGATGCTACCGAGGACTCTATTGCTATGGATATTACTCCATGTATCTCGAAAAAATATACTCCTAACCCGTTTGAGCTTCTCTGCAACAGTTTCCATGACCGTTGAACTTAGTCATACCTCTATTTCTTGTAGGAAGCCAACAACACGCCAACTCATCTTACCTCACCGGCGACCCCTTGCAACTGTCAACAAGAACCCAATCTGGGAGTTCTTTATCTCATCATCAACCTTCAAAAATATGTTGAAGGTCCAAAACAGACATCATGAAGATAATATCGGTACTAGGTAAGTTGGTTGTCCTGTTTTCACACTTGTATGCGCATGCAGCTAACCATCCATCCAGATCTGGGGCTCTCCCTCCTCATCCCAATCCTTATCCTCCTTCACCTCTTCATCGCCCCGTACACCAAGGTTGAAGAGTCTTTCAACATTCAGGCTACCCACGATGTTCTAGTCTACGGAACACCACTTCAAAATGCCTATCACAAGCTATCGCAGGCATATGACCATTTCACCTTTCCCGGTGCCGTGCCCCGAACCTTCGTTGGCCCCGTCGTCTTGGCAGGACTCGGACAACCCATCGTCAACCTCATCGGCTTCGACCATGCCCAAAGTATTGTGAGAGGAATGCTAGGTCTCGCCAACGCGGCTGCCCTTATTTTTTTCGCGCGGAACTTTAGACGTGCCTACGGACGTCCGGCAGCTAGGTGGTATCTGCTTTTGCAGGCCAGCCAGTTCCATGTCATCTTTTACGCGTCGAGGACCTTGCCGAACATGTTTGCTTTTGGGCTAAGTAAGTTGATGCTTTTCATATTGCAATGAAAATTTGATACTGACATATGCCAGCCACGACCGCCACCGCACTCCTCCTCCCAAGCCCGCAGTCCCCAGAGCTCATCCACCGCCGCCACCGCTCGGCCATCTCCCTCCTCGTCATGGCCGGCATCATCTTTCGCTCCGAAGTTGCTCTCCTCCTCTTCACCACCATCTTCCACCTCCTCTTCGTCGTTCCATCCACCTCTCTGGAACGCATCATCCCGCACTTCATCGTCGCCGTCATCGTATCTCTCATCATGACCGTGCCTTTGGACTCCTACTTTTGGCAGAAGCCTCTTTGGCCGGAGCTCTGGGGCTTCTACTTCAACGCTGTGAAAGGCAACTCCAGCGAGTGGGGCACCTCTCCATGTTACTACTACTTCGTCTCTGCCATCCCGAGACTGCTTGTCAATCCGCTTACCTGGGGCTTGATGATCCCTGTAGCGTGGAAGCAGCCGGCTATCAGGCCGGCAGTGAAGGGATTATTGGTGCCGAGTCTGTTGTTTGTGGCGATTTACTCGCTGCAGCCGCACAAGGAGGCTCGTTTCGTCTTTTACGTGGTTCCTTCGCTTACCGGTGCTGCGGCCTTGGGAGCGGATTGGATCGCTAGGAGAAGCTTCAAGGCGGGGAAGACGGCTGCTATCTTGACCTGGGGTGTCCTCCTAGGATCGATCGCGGTATCCTTTGTCGCCAGCACGGGCATGTTGCTGGTCTCCTCGCTCAACTATCCCGGTGGTGAAGCGCTCGCGTACTTGCGCGATACCGTACAGGCAGAGGTTGCTGCGTCTAGTTCATCCTCGGCTGTTGTGCCCGTTCATGCCGATGTCCTGTCTTGCATGACGGGTGTCACGCTGTTCGGGACGGCTACGGGATATGCTTCGGCTGTTCCTAGCAAGGGCAAGATTGTCAGGAAGAGTCCCGGCAGTAGTGTGGTCCTTTCGCTGGACAAGACTGAGGACGACTCTGTCCTTGCCCAAGAGGAGTTTTGGAAACGGTTCGATTACGTTTTGGCGGAGGATACTACGAAGGTTAAAGGTGATGACTGGGAGACTGTCAGTGTGGTCAATGGATATGGTGGGATTGAGATCCTCTTAGACGGCTCTGCCCAGTGCGATAAATCGAAGGAAGACATTCCTGTGGTTGGAAAGGGAGTCTCAGTCGAACGATGGAGAAATCGCGTGAAAGCAATCACGGGAGGGAAATGGGTTGGCCCAAAGATGGTCCCTAGGATATACATATTGAGGAGGGTCAAGCATGTCAAGAGGGCCAGGGAAACGGTCGATGTTTAAGGTAGAATCTAATGCTGGTTTGTTGGTTAGGTTAGTACTCCTAGCATCCTGGATGACATCGATGCCGAGCTATCCAAAACCTATTAAACAAGACCCAATATAGCTTATCAGATTCCAAATCAGCATGTGCAAGTTGAGATTACCCTGTGGTTATAGGACGAACCGGTTCAACGACATATATATCTAAACGCCTCGGAAAGTTGACTAGAGGTCCCGAGCTGTCAAACTAATCAGCATTAGACTGTAGGAGGTGCATTGTTAGCGACTACCTAGCGACTGCCAATTATCACAGCATCTGAAGTCATAAAAAAACAGCGATCGGTCTACTAGCTTCAATCCACAATACGCGTATCTCATACACGGCATTGAAGACGGGACAAGCCCCAGGAGCGATGAGGAGACACAAAGGCTGTGCAGTTTGTCCCTTCCAGCTTTTTCCTCCACAAAGCTCTTCCCCCAAACCTCCTTCGCCACAAGTTCGTCGTCATCAGAACTGGGGGGGCACTGGCGGCCAATTAGAACCCACTAAAGCCCCTGTCCAAGCCCCAAACCCGCTCTATCGCAGTTACCCAATTGGGCATCCTCAGTGCTTCATCTCTTGCACGTCTAAATCCAATCAACCACTCTTCTTCTTCTTCACCCCAACATCCAAAACATCCCGTCTCGAGAACCATTTGCAGCGACTTGAACTTTATTCGAAAATCCATCACGGCGCTTACGCATTGCCGTTATCCAGTCGGACCAAAACTTCCTTTCGTTTTCTTTCACGTGCGGTATTCCGGTTCGTGCAACAAGACTTGAACCCCTCCTTCAACTACTACCAACCGACGAGGCGACGACCCCTCTTCTTGCGTCTGAATTGTGAGGCGGCAGAAGAGTGACGCATCCTTCAACTACCGACATTGAGTTGAGTCACGATCATTTGAGGCGAACTCGTTACTGCCATCAGTATTTTATCGACGCTGTCGATCTGACATCGAAGTTCAACTGTTCTTTCTCAAAGGCGGATGACCGGAAGTGTGAAAGACAAATCGCCTTATCAGAAGGCTCTTCACATCTACGGAACTCATCACCTGTTCTTCACCTCACTAAAAACCATTCACTGCTCGGAAACACCGCTTTCTTCTTCACCCTCATTCCTAAAAACCCAAACACCATCACAACATCACCCATCATGGCCCAACCATCAAAACAAGGCCACCAAGCCCAGCAAGGCCAACCCGGGCCATCCACCCAACGGCCCTCACCACCCGGCTCCCCCCTCCCCGTCACACCCCCTCCGCCAGCCTACGGCGACTCCCTAGATCACTTCAACCTCTCACAGGCCGGTTTCCAAGCCGGCGCCGCCCTGACTGAAGACGGCCGCATCAACATCCAAATCTCCGAGAAAAACCACAGACTCTCTCAACTCCTCGCTCCCGCCCTCCGGAACCAGCTTTTAGGCCAGCCCCCTTCCCCGGCCACCGGCCCCTTACCACCGCCTTATATTCCCGCCAGCCTAGGCGGACAGCCGGGCCAGACGCCCCCTCCCCGACTGAATGTTGTGATCCAGATCGTTGGATCTCGGGGAGATGTGCAACCATTTGTGTCGCTGGGCCAGACGTTGAAGCAGACATATGGACATCGGGTGCGGGTTGCTACGCACCCGGTGTTTCGAGAGTTTGTGGAGGGGAGTGGACTGGAGTTTTTCAGTATTGGTGGGGATCCGGCCGAGTTGATGGCTTTCATGGTCAAACACCCTGGACTGATGCCGGGGTTTGATGCGATCAAGACGGGAGAGATTACGAAGCGGAGAAAGGGAGTTTACGAGGTGCTGATGGGATGCTGGAGGAGTTGTATTGAGGCTGGTGATGGGACGGGGCCGGCGCCGAAGGAATGGAGGAAGGGGGATAGGAACGCCGAGGGCGCGTTTATCGGGGAGGATGGATGGACAGTGTCCGGGGAGGCAGGAGTGAATATGGGGAGGAAGCCGTTTGTGGCAGATGCGATCATTGCGAATCCGCCCAGCTTTGCGCATATTCATTGCGCAGAGAAACTGGGGGTTCCGTTGCATATGATGTTTACGTGAGTTCGATCTTCTGTTTGCGATGTGGATGGACCGCTAACAAGATGACAGCATGCCCTGGTCACCGACAAAGGCCTTCGCTCACCCGCTGGCCAACATCCAGTCCTCAAACGCTGATGTCGCCATCACAAACTACATCTCTTACGCTTTGGTGGAGATGATGACTTGGCAGGGTCTAGGAGACGTGATCAACCGCTTCAGAGAGAAGGTGCTCGATCTCGAGCCTCTTTCCTTGCTACGGGCGCCTGGCCTACTCAATACTCTACGCATACCGACAACCTACTGCTGGTCTCCTGCTCTGATCCCCAAGCCCAACGACTGGGCACAAGAGATCAGCATAGCCGGATTCTACTTCCTTGACCTAGCGACGAATTACACCCCCGAACCCGATCTTGCCGCATTCCTCGCTGCTGGTCCACCACCGGTGTACATCGGCTTCGGTTCCATCGTCGTTGATGACCCGGACGCCTTAACCCGTCTTATCCTCCGCGCTGTGGCCAAATCTGGTGTTCGCGCTCTTATTTCAAAGGGATGGGGCGGTATCGGCCTTACGGAAGACATCACTCAGGCAGATTGGGCTCCTCGTCCAGATCAGTACTTCATGCTCGGCAATTGTCCCCACGATTGGCTGTTCAACCGCGTCTCAGCCGTAGTTCACCATGGAGGAGCAGGTACCAGCGCAGCAGGTATCAAGGCCGGAAAACCAACGGTCGTGGTTCCATTCTTTGGTGATCAGCCGTTCTGGGGAGCCATGATTGCTAAGGCTGGTGCTGGCCCTGATCCGATTCCTAACAAGCAGCTCACAGCCGATAATCTGGCTGCAGCAATTCAAGAGGCGCTAAAGCCCGAGACACTCGCTAGAGCACAAGAGCTTGGACACAAAATCAAGGAGGAGAAGGGTGCTGATGAAGGTGGTTTGAGCTTTCACCGGTTCTTGGAGGTTGATGGTATGCGATGCAGCTTATCGCCCAGCAGGGTTGCCGTGTGGAGAGTTAAAAGGACAAAGGTCAGGCTAGAGCGCGTTTGCGGCGGAGGTACTGGTCAGAGAAGGGTTCTTGAAGTACTCCGACCTGAAACTGTAAGTGCATATCGACACTGTCGATTAACTTGGGTGATTACTAACGAGTAGCAGGTACCGAGCCAAGGAGCACATCACTGATGGTCAGCCGTGGGATCCCATCTCAGCTGTCACAGCAGCTTTGGTAGAGGACCTCGGAACAATGGCCATGTCGGTTGCTGATTTTCCCAGGGAGATCTTCAAGACCAACCAGGGTAGAAAGGCTAGCAACGCTGCCGGGGGCAACGGGCAGACTTCAGGGTCTAATACACCAGCCGACGGAGCTCAGGAGTCTTCGTCTCCCCAAGCGCACGGAGCCCTCAGCCCTGAAGGCCAGCCAGAGTCTTCTTACTTCCCTGCTACAGCGACAGAGGATAAGGGGAAGGGGAGATCGGTGCCTTCGCCTTTTCATAGCCGGCAAAGCTCTTTCAAGGAGTCGTCCAACCAGCGTTCTGCAAGCGGAGGTCAGCGTCCAACAACACCAGGTGGCACGGCAAACATCTTTGGCACTGCCAGTCCTCAGTTGAACCTAGAGGCGTTGAACTATGAGACGGTTCTCGACGCAAGCAGGAACGTGGGTCGCTTTGTCGACACGGGTATGAAGATGCCCATGAACGTCTGTCTCGGTCTTGCTCGTGGCTTCCGCAACGCTCCCCGCCTGTACAACGACGACACGGTTCGACCTCAAGAGAAGGTAACTGACTTCGCTTCCGGGTTAAGAGTTGCAACCAAGGAATTTGGGTTTGGCCTATTTGACGGCATTTCAGGTTTAGTAACTCAACCCATGAGGGGCGCAGAAAAGGAAGGCGCCATGGGACTCCTTAAGGGATTCGCCAAGGGTATCGGTGGAGTTGCGCTGAAGCCCGCTGCTGGGTTCTGGTCCATCCCAGCTTACGCTATGCAAGGACTCAATGCCGAGGTCAGGAACTTGATGAGAGGCGGTGGCTGGGTGAACCATATCATCGCCGCGAGGGCGCAGCAAGGAAGAGATGAGATCGAGTATGCGACCAAAGAGGAGGTGAAGGATGTCGTGGCTAGGTGGCAAGAGAAGAGATGGGAAGATCCGGCTAAGGGTGGCTTGAGGGATTGGGTGAAGACCGATGTCCTGGGAAAAGGAAAAGGAGCCGCCTCACCTAGCACGGCATCTGGAGGAAATGTCAGCAGCTCTGGCCAGGGACAGGCTCGTAGCGGAGTTGCTGCTGCAGTCGGAGCAAGCACCGATGCCGAACTGGAAAAGGCCATTCAGGCCTCGATTCAGCAAACGTCCAAGGGTAACCCAGAGGAAGATGCTGAAATTGAGGCTGCAATCAGACTCAGCCTTGCTCAGATGGAGCAACAAACGGCTTCGCAAGCCCAGCAGCCGCCTCAGTATGATGGATCCGTACCAGCTAGGTACGAAGAGCTCAAATCACCTCCAGGTGCTTGGCCACAAACAGTGTCCGCTCCGCCTCCCCCTGCCTCAGAGGTGTTATCACCAGGGGCACCACCGCCAGCATATTCAGCCGAATATCAACAGCAACCCCCGCCCGAGAAGTCATCGCTTGCGCAGGCCATGATTGATGAGTACTTCACCGGCATTACGGACGAGGAACACCAAGCTCTAATCGAAGAGGCCGTTCAGCGGAGTATTCGAGCCCAGATGTATCAACAATCGACTATGAGCGCCAAGGAGGAGAAAGAACTCCAGAAGGCGATCGAGGCGTCGAAGTCAAGTTACACTTTTGGTGTGCCTCCTCCGCTGCCGGCTCGTCAGTTCAGCGGATTCACTCCTATTGCCACACCTAGTACGCCCAACAATGGAGAGACAGGCGAAGACCCTGAAGAGGAGGAAGAGATGAGGAAGGCATTGGAAGAAAGTGAACGGATGGATAGAGAGAGGAGGGAGCAGGAAGAGAGGGAGAAGAATGAAGAGACGATTGTCTTGGAGTGGGTCAAGAAGCAGAGTCTGGCTGAGGAGCAGTTCAGAGGAAAGAGTCAAAGGGGCCTTGGTGGTGGTGAAGGAAGTGGGAGTGCTGAGGCTCAGGTTCAACCTCAGCCCCAGGGACAGATCCAACCACAGACCCAACCACAGACCCAGCAACAGAGCCAGGTGCAGCCTCAGATACACCAGGCGCCACCTCAAGTGCCAGTTAAAGTTCCGCAGCAACCTCAGGAGCAAATTCCGAACGAAGGCCACAGAGCCCCAGGAGGTGGTGATGCTGATACGCACCATGGGCCCATCCAAATGGAGGACCGGGACTGGGATGAAGACGAGGAGTTTAGGAAAGCTCTTGAGGAAAGCATGAGGATGAGTGGTCAGGGAGATGCCAAGGGGCAGTGAGGGATGTTTCTGTTGGAGAAGATGTTATGTTATTGCTGTGTTGTTTCATACCTGTTATGGTGATCTGAAGTATTTCGAGAAGATGAAGAAGATCAGATGGATTCTCTCGTGAAACGTGACCATCGTCGAAGAATGAGATTCCCTAGTCGGTGTCGAGACCGAAGGTGCACGCCCGTCTCCACTTGCCTGCAGACCCCGCGATGCAAGCAGGAAGTCAAGAACCTGAAGGCTCGACATATGGAAGGTATTGGAAGGTACCCATCCATCAGGGCAGATTTCATTGTCAACCAGAGCAGCGACGGGTCACCTGTAAGAGAAGTAGTTCAGAGATTGTTGGAACGAATCCATCACTGTGGAGGAAGGAGGTAAGCGGCAGTAGAGGGAGGCTGGATCAGAGCAGGGAGCAACGGGGTATGACGAGGAAGGTGTAAGGTATCGTGGGTAGGTATGTATATAGCCAGAGCCTCCGCAGCTGGCACCGCTATGGTAGGCTTCTTTTTATCTCCAACAAGGAGAATTTGGTCCCATTGTTTTACCTTCCGTAGCCTTTTTCTTCGCCGTTTTCCTCAACAGCCGAGTGTCTTGGGTTGTTGGCGTCGTCTGTTCTTCCCATAAATTTTTCCAAATCGGGAAAGTCTTGACAGATGCTCGACATGTGATTGGTCAGCTCCAACAACACTTGCTTTGAGACGTTGGGCGAGCGCGGCCAACCGCCCCGAGCCGCCCGTGACCGATGCACGATCTGGACTTTTGCGCTCATGATTATCTCATCATGGCGTATCTCCAAATGACCCCAAGGTCATACGGGCGTGACGTGCATTGCCCGCTTAAGACATCCACGACAGCATGAACGGATGCACATCACTGCAATCGCAACATACGAACCCTAAAAGCACTGCAATTCCCACTGCTCGGCACACTACAACCTTCGCCCATCGTCAAATCGACCCCTCATCGTTTTCCTACGCGAATTCCCAGTACCGGTCAAACAGAAATATCAAATCACCGATCATGACGCGCCCCAAGAAATCGCCCATCCTCCTGCTCGATGGCACCGGCGTGGTCCCCTCCCGCATTGCCCGCCGACTCTTCTTCTCGGCCTCGTCCGAAAAGCACCCCTTGTTGATTGCCTCGACGCCCGGATTAGACCCTAACGGTGTCAAATTCAACCTTTACGATCCCACCACCTGGGAGAACCCCTTCATCCGTGCTCAGGAGCTGTTTGGCATAGGCTCGGAGATGGAGAGCGATGACATGAAAGTCAAATGCGGGTCGAGTCGCAAGGAGACATTAGAGGAGAGCATGGAAGGAGAGGGGGAGACGACTGGGCCTGTGGAGGACACTTTGGAAAAGGAGGACAAGAGCGAAACACCTACAGGGCTGGATACGGACTTGCAACAATTCGCCGCCACAAGCGGCCCCTCTACCTCGACAAAACAACAACAACAACAACAACAACCTCAAGCCCACCAGTCAGAAGAAACCGACGAGAAGCCCGTCATGATTCACTCCATCTACCTCACAGCTCCCAACAACCCCCCTTCCAACGTCCACGTTCACTCCCACTCTTCCCGCACATCTTCCCTCGCCGCCGAAGACGAGCAGCAGCAGAGAGCGCCCCTCCCCTTCCCCCTCCCAGCAAGCATCGCTGCTCATGCAATTCATTGACTACGCCCGCGTGAAGTACGGCACTCGCCGATTCGTCCTTCAATCATCCAGCGCCATGGAACCCGGCGGCTTCGCAATGGGACGAGTGCACGCGCACCTACGGGAGCTCGGGCAAAGAGGTGAGGCCGAGTGGGCAGTGCTGAGGCCGACTTGGTGCCAGCAGGATTTTGAGCAGCCGTGCCATGTCAAAAGCATCAAGGACGAGAATAAACTGTACTCGGCGACCGATAGGGGGAAGATCCCGTGGGTGTCGGCTGATGATATTGCTGGTGTGGCGGTGCAGGCTTTGACGAGAGAGGATGCGCCGAATACGGAGTATTTGGTTCTGGGGCCGGAGTTGTTGGGGTATGATGATGTGAGTTGAGTTGTTTGCTTGCTCCCTTTCGTCCCCATGACTTTAAATTGGCAATAAACTTGATACTGACAATCATCCTCCGTTACAGATCGCAAACACACTTTCCTCCGTCCTCGGCCGCAAGATTGTCCATGTCGACCTGAGCAATCCAGCCCTTGAGCGTCGCCATCAGTCGTTTGGATGTTCAGAAGAGCATTCGCGCCTAATGAGCTCATTAGACACAGCTATCAAGTACGGGATGGAAAACAGGACGAATGATGTAGTTCTCAGTATGACTGGGAACAAGCCGAAGAGTTTCCGAGAGTATGCTGAGAGTGCCAAGGAGATTTGGGTTTAGGTACAAAACCTAGTGCAAGAAGGAGAGTAATGGACGGAAACACAGCTTCGGATGCGGCCACGGCTCTCTTCATATGCTTTCAATAGATATCTGGCCGTTCTATCACAGTGTCGATTCATGCTTGAAATCGGTATAGCGACCACTAGTTGGTGAAGCTGGAGGCTGGATAATTATCTGTACAACGGAGATGATTCTCACGATGCAGAAAGGGATGTGGAGGTAGTAAGTTTGTTCACATGATTTTTCTAGTGGATTGCAGACTGAAACTTCCTGGACCCTAATATCCGACGCTAATAATCACTTACCTATCCGGCCATGTCTCCCGTCCCGATGGGTTCTTGACCCACCCTTCCTCATGTGTTCCATTTTTAAGGAGTTGCCAGGAGTGAGCCCATCGTAGGGTTTAATGGCCGCCGCAAGAGTCTCGCCGAGCGACTTGTGATTGGTACCAAGAGCCTCGTTGCCCTTGCCATCGCATTGATTTACAAAGAATGTTCCGAGGGTCTACATCACGGAAAGAATATGTCAGTACGGTACCTCATTAACCCGCATCGCATTTAACCATTTCAGGAACCAAGAAAAGAAAAAAAAACGACTTACACCCCACAAACACCATCAAGCTGTCGAAGAACCGCAGCCATATTCTGCCCAATGAAGGGGTACGCGTCCGCGATCAAGAGTCCGACCTTGCCAATCAAGATATTTAGAAGTTCCCGGTTGATTCGCACCAATTCATCGTCGGCCGTGGTGACAGATTTGCATCCTTCCTGGTCGAGGTCCGTTCCACGTTAGCTTTAGACAGTAACTTCTGAGTGTATTTGATGATGTTCTCGAAAGCCATTGATGATTTGCTAAAAGAAAAAGAAATGAGAGAAATATGTCAGTATTCTTTCCATGTCATGAATCCAGCCATCCATCATATGGAACTTAAGAGGTAGTTTTAGGCTGGTGCGTAGGTAGAGTCAGGGTGACTTCGATCTTGGTAGAAGAATTCCTCTCATGTTTCATTGTATATAGTTGAAAGTAGGTAGGTAGCATGAAATAAGAATGGAACCTTTGATAAACATATCGAGTTAACAGCACAAGAGATATTGCTGATGCTACAGAAGAAGCGCTGGCTATAACCCTCGGCACCTGTCATCCCGTACAACATTGTTCCCAAGCCCACAAAACCCATCAAATACCATAGAATCCATTCCAAACGCATACTACTCATTTCGTTTCTGCTTGTCGTATGAAATGGCCATCCATACCCCTTCCCCTTACGAAGCGTCAATGCAACGTCGCGAGTTCTTCATAGTTTCGCCACCGTCCTGATCCGTCCATAGGTATTCAGGCGCTGAGCCCCTCGTACTGCTTGACAGCAAGATCAAGGGTGTTTCCAAGGCTGTTGGCTTCAGAAGTAAGGCCAGTTGCTCTCGACCCGCAGAGATTGATGAGGGTGATGCTGATAGTCTATAAGGGGTAAATGTTTGTCAGTGGGAATCCAAGTACGGTCTGGTTGAAGGAGTCTTATAGATGAGGGAAACCTACATCATAAACCTTTTCCATCTCTTTGAATGTGGACGCCACGGGCGGCCCAGCCAGCGGAGTCCTGGAGAGGATACCCGCCTTGCCAATCATGATATTGAGATAGGCCTGGTTGACACGGACAAACTCCCTGAAGCTGTCAAAGACGAGCGTGCACTCCGCTACTTCCGTAATTGGCGCTGTGCCTTCCAGTTGTGAAATCAAGACCGTGGCCGTCAAAACGATATCAGTGTTGCCCTTGATAATGACCTAGTGTCTATGTTAGTCCTGTCTTGACAACTGTGACGAACCGTTACAAGCA